CCCCCCTCGCTCTCTGTCCTTCACTCTGTCTTCTTCTCTCTTCATGTTTGTCTTGAATACTGCAGTCCCAATTTCAACAGAGTGGTTTTTCTGTTTCTCCAGGTGACGGCGGCGGGGAAGGGGCAAAGTATGGGAGAGCACTTGTGCATTGGAGACTACCTGTGTCTGTACTGCGAGGAGACAGAGGGTTTTGTCTACAGCTATCAGTCCAGGTACGTTGCCAAACTTGTATAGTGATAATATGAAGCATCGTGGTGAAATGAGGCGCTCGTCTAATTTATGAAATAGAAGGAAAGTGGCATAATTTTTCCGCCTTTTGGGCAATTTTTAGCGACCTTTTTTCAGCTCATCACCTTTTATGTTCATTTAAAAACACATTCTTTCATGAAAAATGTAAATTAGCATTTTCCAAGGACCTACAGCTGTGGAAACCATCAAACCTAAGCGTCCATTTTCTCACTAATTTCGACTCTGACGCCATGCGACCCCCACCTCATTAAATCGCATAATATACCTCATCTTCTAATTCATAATAAATGGGGTGGGTTTTTTTCTTTTAGCAAAAGCGAAGCAAATGAACAGGCTTTAAGATTGTAGCAATAACTCCATAATATGCCCGAAAAGTGACGAGCGCCTGATTCCCCAGCGTCGCGACGCCTTGCATTTGTCTCGTTTTTATATGGGGAAAGGAAGCGGGAAAGGGAGGGGGTGGTGGAGTGATGTGTACATTGCTCTATTTATTTGTTTACGTTGGCTGTTACCTAATTTCCTGCTGTTGTGTTTGAAAACAATGCTTGTGTAAAGCGGGGGGTGTTATGGAAATTGGAAACCCGAATAATGCAGAGCGATCAATTTCTGTGCAACAGCATATTTTTTAACTGATACAAACGGGATAGGAATGAAAACAAAGGAATATGTCGGGATGATCCAATTATGATTTGCGGAGAGGTTTAATCTGAAAGATCAACGAAGGTTCTGGCAACGTCTAACGTCAAAACCAAGTATGTGCGCATTGCAAGGAGTCTCCATATTTCGGTAAAGGTCTACTTCAGCCCTCTATTCGGAACTTAATTGACCTTCCGGGATCTCCACCCTGTCGGGGGG